GTGGGCGTAGGTGTGGGCGTGGGGGTTCCCTCCCCACTTAACCCCATCTCACCGCTGAAAAAGCCCTTCTCCAGCAATGTGATCGCACCTCCCAAGTTCCCCCGTGCGGCGCCACTCACGTCCAAATCCTGGATGGAGGATAACGCTTTCCGAACAGATAATGGTAACAATCTGTTGCCATTTCAGGTAATACTCGGTGCACCTGCACACTTCTTACCCCAATCCTGCTTCGTTTGTCCCTTCTTCCCGCATCCCACCTGTTTTTCTTTTTAAAAGGGCAGCAGTATCCAGCTGCCCCCAAAGCCTCCAGTTCACTGGGGCTGTTCCTCTCTAGGGGGACGAGTGGCTGATGGAGAAATTGTACTTGTGCGCCCTGTCATAGTAGAAAAGGGCCCTTTTCTTTTAGTTTATTTTTTCTTCACTGTGCTTGTGCTTCTCATTTTGACCTTCCTTGACAAATAAAGCTGCAAGTGTATGGCGAGGTGCTGGCATAGTCTCAGGATGAGTAGGCTGAGATTCCTATCATTTTAAGTAGCTACACATTTTAGGTTATGCAATCCTAGGTTTAGGGTGCTCCCTAAAAGCTGTCCACACCCAAGCCCTGGCCTTACTCTTAGAGGGTTAACAGCCCTTTCATGGTGCTATTTCAAATAGTTGAATACGGTCGATTAAACTAATGTGAACACATGTGTTTATGTCTCACTTAGGTGTTGGAATCATTAATAACAGTCAGCATATTGCCCTACTGGGAAAATTATGGGTTCCAGTAAATACCCAGAACTGTAAGGGACGGAGGTGGAAGAGTGGAAATTCTATATCTAGGGGCAACCATTTCCATGTTACCTACAAGGATTTAGATTTTTTTTTTTTCCAGAGGAAAGAGACAATAGGACACGACCTTCAGAGCCATATTGCAATGGAGTCTATTTGCTAGCTAGCACTGAAATATTTAAAGCTGCAGTGTCCTTCACCAGTTGGCTTATTTAAGAAGACAATGCATATCAATTACACCATTTGAAACTGGGCAAAGTGAAAGTCTTGCAACTTTAATGAAAAATGAGTCTTGTGTCTTGGTATTAAGTGCCAGTGAAAAATCCAGGAAATGCCCCAGACAAAAAGATTGAATGGAGAGTGTCCTTATTTCTGTTCTTGCTTTCCGTTCCTGAACACAGCCACAGCAGTTGGCAGTGTCCCGGACACCTTGGATCAAAGGAGAGATGAGTGTGTGTATTTGCTGGGGGCTTTTGCTCTCACTTAGCCTTCACTTACTTACAAATTGTTTTTTTTTGTAAGCATCTAGCCTCTGGTAGAGGGAGAGACAAGGGGAGCCAGGAGGGGATCAGACTGACCCCGAATTGTGTGGCCAAGGCAATGAAATAAAAATCTTTGGAGCAGAGCTGAAAGATGATGGAACTTACCATTTAACAGAGATAAAGTGTCAAGTACAGTTGGAGTCTTCATTTGGTTGCTCTTTACATTTCGTGTTTGGGGTAGCCCCCCCCATGAAGAATTATTGAGAACACCACTCTAGGCTTCAGCAGAGACTTTTGTCCTTGAAAATTCAAGGAAGTCTATAAAACCTCTAAATTGTGTATAGGAAATTTATTTATTTTTTTAAAGACAAGGTTTTGATACTTAGCTCAGTCAGTCTGGCCTCGGACTTGCAATCCTCCTGCTTCAGCCCCCTGTTTCCCCCCAGACTGAGTCTCACTGTGTCATTCAGACTGGCCTTGAATTAACTATGTTGGTCAGGCTGGCCTTGAATTTGTGATCCTCCAGCCTCAGCCTCCTGAGTGCTGGGATCATAGGTGTGTACCACCATGCCAGGCCCAGTTTTAACCTGAGTACTGGTGACTCTAGACATGTGCCACCACGCCATGTAGCTATTTTTAAAATAGCTAGTAGTTTTTTAAAAGAGAAGATTTTATACCAAATTTCACAAGGATCCTTCCAGAATAGAAGATTTTAATATTCATTGAGGTGTATTTCTGTTACTCTAAAGTTGGTTTATTTTAGTAAAACAAAGACACACTGCAAGATGGAATTAGTTTGGTTATCTAATTTCTGGAATTTGTTGGCTTTTCTTTTCTCTCTGTCTCTAGTTTTTGTTTTTAAGTTTTTTGAGTTTTTTGAGACAGTCTCAAAAGTTGGCCTAAAACTCACTTTGTTGCCTAGGTTGACTTCACTTTTAAGGATCTTCCTGCCTCAGCCTCTGAAGTGCTGGGATTACAGGTGTGTGATACTATGCACTGATCTGGAATTTGTCCTTTCTTTTAGAGTGAGTAGGTTTGGGGACACTGTTTTTGGTAAGAGAGAATGTTTTATTCTGAGGCTTCCTGCCCAAATCCAGCCTTTACCTATAACCTGAATTCTTAGGGGAGTTTATTTGGTAGCTGAGGGAATAGGGAGATCTAATTGTCTTTTTCTGGGAGATGAATCTGAATACAACCAGTTTGTTTTTGTTGTTGTTGTTTTTAATCTTACTATGTATGTTTCTCAGGCTAGTCTTGAACCCCAATGTTTAAATAGTTGTATCTCAACCTCCCGAGTAGCTGGGACTACAGGTGAGTGCCCTGTACCTGGCTATTGAATAAATCCAATTTTAATTAATTTCTCCTGAAAAGGGGATTAGAAAGAAATTAAATCCACAAAGTTTTACCAAGCCTGACATTGATTGCCAGTTGTTTCTCAGCAAACCATTTGCCAGTGATTCTAGTAAGAGCCAAAAATGCACTGGGTTGTGCTTTTGTCTTTTCATTGTGGTAGTGCTATTGAGTAAGCAAAAGAGGTGAAAAGACTTGGAGGAAGGATTTGACTAAAAATTGAGCATTGTTTATTTGGCCTCAGGAAGAAGTACATGTAATGTATGTCATTTTTGTTTCTTCACTTGATCTTAGCCAAAAGGTCGAGAAGTGATCATTTTTGTTTCTTAAAGTGAAGAAGCTTTTGGGTTTTGAAGCAATATTAGAACCTGAAGACCCAGGCTACAGGGAAGCTGAGAAAGGAGGATAACTTGAGCACAGGAGTTTGGGACAAACCAGGACAACATAGCCAGACCTCATCTCTTAAAGAAAAAATAAAACTGTATGTGGTGGTTCATATTTGTAATCACAGTATTCTGGGAAGCTGAGGCAGGAGGATTGTAAGTTCTAGTCCAGCCTGGGCAACTGAGCGATTGTTGCCTCAAAATAAAAAAATAAAAAGAATAGGGATGTAGCTTAGAGCAAAGGCCTTGGGTTTAATCCCTACTACCTAGGGCTAGGGGTATAGTGCAGTGGTAGAACGCATGCTTAGCATGGAGAAGGCTTTAGGTTCAGCAGCCAGCATGTGTGCATGTACAGACACATACATAATCATTTTTCTAAAAAAGGGAGAGAATATCTTACTTCCGATGCCTCTTTAAAAAATTATTAGGCAAATGATGTCTTTTTTTAGTTGAGTTTGTTATATAGAATGCCAATCATATTTTAACAGACTGAGAGGGGCTTTCAACAATGATCCTAGTACCTGATGATACTCTAATATTATTAGATATTTTTTTTAAAATCCATGTTCTTCATTCTCTTTTGCCATTTCCTACCAACAGTAGATTTGGACCTTTATTTATGTGGTTTATATTATAGAAGCAATGACTATGTTTTAGTGTGGCTTTTCAAGCTGCTCAGGCTTTCTTATTGTAATAAAAGTGATTGGGTTCCCTGTGTCAGGGCGGCTGCTTGCTCGCTCAGGGATTCCTTCTATCTAAAGCTGCTTCATTTCTAAAAATAGTGAAACTGAGGTCCCAAGAGAAGTTAAGTCCTCAAACTCTGGCTAATTTTGTCATTATACATCATTAACCTCCCTTTGTGCTAGTATTGTTGTTACAATTCATTTTAAGTCAGATTCTCTTTGGACTCCATGTGAAGGACTCCAAGTGATGGGATTGTTTAAAAATGTTCTCTACTAGGCTTCTTGTGCTATACCTTTCACAAACACAAGGAGTATGAGACGCTCCACCGGAGGAATTATACATATGCATCATTCTGTATTTACATGCGACAAAGAAGCCTAGGGATGTAAAAGGACCACAACAGAATTGTTAGTATTTTTTGTTTTGAGACAGGGTCTCATTATATAGTCCAGGCTTGCTTTGAACTTTCTGTGTAGCCTAGTCTGGCCTCAAACTTCTGATCCTCCTGCCTCAGTCTCATGAGTGCTAGGATTACAGGTGTGAGCTAGCATACCTGGCCAGAGACATTTATTGTATGTGGTAAATTTGGGTTTAAAAAGCATTGTCCAAAGAAGGGACTTTCAAGAGTACCTATTTCAGGCTCTGCTCATTTTGCAGAATAAGAAATCAGAGTGCCAATATATGTGAAGTGACTTGTCCAAGTTCAAGTAGGTAGTTTCTGTCAGATGTAGGATTTTGTGGCAGTATGGCTGGATTCAAATCTCAGCTCTGCCAGTCATTGGCTTTGCTGTAATTTTGAGCAAATTATACAAGCATGCTATGCTGACTTTCAGTTTCTTCATTATAGAAAATTTTGTATTTCTTGTCTATGTCTAGTAAAATGTTATATAGTGTTAATTTTGCTGTTGTATTATTATTAGCAGAGGAAGAAATCCCTTACATCCATTTATGGGAATATATATAATATTTTAAAACAAATATGACCATTTATATAAGTGTTTAGGGAACATCAGTATTTTTCAACTAGCATGTGCCCTCCTAACCACTAATACTAGGGATTGAGCCCAGAGCCTTGAACATGCTAGGCAAATGCTCTGCCACTGTTAGATTGCCAGGCTCCCCTCCTGGCTTTTTGAGACAAGGTGTCTCTAAATTGCCCAGACTACCCTTGAACTTGCATTTCTCCTTCTTCAACCTACTAGGATTACAAGTACGAGTCACCACACCCACCATAGGTTTGTTTTTTAATTGAACCTAATAACAGGACCTAATAACAGGACCTTGATGTGGATCTTAAAATGGAGAGTCTCCTCTCGTTGATCTCCCCCTCCCCACCCCTAGGTACCGGGGATAGAACTCCGGATCTTCCACCTGCCAGGCAGGCACCCCGCCACTGAGCTGCATGCCTGGCCCACTAGTTCATTTCTTAACTACTGTGTTACTCTAATACAAAATCCCTTAAGGTCTACTCAGTCCCACAAGCAGAATAGGCTTCAGAACCTATTATTACGTGATC